ATATATATATAGATATATATATATATATATAAGACTGCAAATGTGCAATAGTTTATCAGTTCAGTCTAGTTTCCTAATAGTTACGTGCAGGCTGTTATTTTAGCCCTAAAACATACTGAGAATGTAGATATTTTATTAAGATTGCTATATTTTGTCTTTTAAGCCATAAATTCCTCAGTAACTGTTAGTGATGCAGCAGTATTGCAGTGACAGTAGGCCAATAGTGAGTTAAGTAAAGATAACAAGTAAAGATCATATAGATTTTTAAGTTTTCTTTGGGCTTGCTCTAAACAACTGTGTTGTCGACTTTGTATTAAAACAGAAGCACTAAAAGAGATTGTGTATGTCCTCATTAGAGTAAGGATTTGGATCAGTTTGAAAGAATGATTGTTAACGGGTAATCATGTGACAATCTCAGATGATCTCTTGTGCAGTAATTCAAAAGTAATTTAATATGATGTAATGTAGTAATGTAATGAATTGCCTCTATAGGAAATAAGTAATGTAATGCATTAATTATCAAAGATGAATAATATATATTGACATCAAATTATATGAAACTATAAAAAAATTAATAAAAAAACTCTGTTTAATTTTGTGCAAGTCATTTTGTAACTTTATTTTATAACGTGTGTGTGTGTGTGTGTGTGTATGAATAAACATATTCCCATACATATACACACACACAAAACAGAAGACATTATTCAGAGTTTAATGATGAATAAATAAGCTATATGTGGCTAATAGAAACGCTCTAATATTAGAAACTAGTGTTTAACAGATTAGTGAGAATTGCAGCTGAGTATAGTCTGCTTTTTTCCAGCCCCAATGAAGAAGCATTAGTGGAAAGACAAACAGATGTTTCATAATGGTGATCTGAGGGAGAAGTACTAACATTATTTGTAAAACTACTGTAAACTGAAAATTAGCTAAACTCCTGTTCTGAAATAAAAGCCATCAAAGGAAATATAAACCTGCGAGAAGCTACTCACTAATGGTTTCATAATGAGCTACACCAAATTAAATTTGTGCCTCTTTGTTTCTCTGCCAGAAACCGAAAACAAGCTCTTTAGTTGGCTCTTGTTCATATATATTCCATATCAAGAAATAAAAACTGCTCCTTTTGTTTTTGTTCAGACGTCATATGCTGTATAGCATAATCCTGTAAAAAAGCAGCATTGATACATCTTGTCTGTGGAAGTCCTGATATTAACTTTTGTTATATATCTTTTGTTTGCCTGCCTCTTTATTTCAACTTTGCTAACTTGCTTTGCTTTGTGTCATATTGATCTTGCCCTTTCTCAGTCCTTGTGTGCCTCCTTCACACCCATTTCACTATAAGTGCTGCTCATTGGCTCTAGTTGCTAGGAAACATAATAGTTTGACCTTAAAAACAAGATGCAAAAGTTGAAACATGTCTGGATTTATCTCCATTTAGAGTTAAGTAGTCTCAGGAATCCCTTCTTATATTTTTAGTATTCATTTTGATCAGCATTTCACATGCTTCCTCAGATATTAAGAGCAGCAGGGAGGATCTTGTGCCACTCAGAGTAGTAGTCATCATGTCTGCTAACAGCCCTGTGTGCATAAGCCAGTAGCTGGACAGCATTATTATGGTGGTGGTGGTGGTGGAGGACTTCCTGCTTGTGATGCAGTAATCTTGTTAATGTTGAGTTGAGGCTCCTCACTCATTGATCCAGTTGTCTTGGAAAGAAAGGGAGGTGGAGCTGTTCAGCAGAGAGTATATGGTTCCCAGTGTTGCTGCAGTCATCCTCCCATGTCTTTGACTGAAACTGACCCAAACAACTAGGTATGAAAGTAGTGTTTATCATAATACAAGGGTGGTAAGCCTCTTTTATCTGCTCTGAAACATAGTCATATGTAAACAGTTCAGTGTTGAAGCGCGGGATAGGATCGTTTGTAATGGACATTCCTGTGTATTTGTGATGCAAATGTAATCTTAAAGGATCAAGGATCCTGTTAACACTGGCTTGATTCCATTAGTGATGTTGTGTGTTATCACACTTCATTTAAATTGTTTATAACAGCGACTATGACAAAAATTATAGTTTTAAAAGCGGTATCATCAGCAGCACATCATATGTAAAACAGGCTTAAAACCAGCAAAGCAGAAGGGCAAGTCTTGTGTTTTGCCCCTTCTCTCTTTTCTCTGCCTCTTGACCTTGGCTACTGATATTCCTAACAGCTGTTGTCCAACTTACTGTTTTGCCTTTGCTATCCCCGCTGCCTGCCTGCCTGCCTACGTAGAATGTCTCTGGAGGTTATGACCATCCTCTGTCGCTGTGAGAATATCGAAACCTCGGAGGGTGTACCCCTGGATGTGACAGGGGTGGCTCAGGTAATGCATTTCAGAAGGCTGGGGGAAAAAAAAGAAAAAAGGAAAAAAAAAAAAGCAGTGGCTGGTGTTTGAGGCCGAAGGAAGACAAAAGGTGATGGTTCAGCTAATCGGCTAACATTGTCTGTGTGTTTTCATCCTCTTTTCTTCTTTCTTCTGCAGTCAGAGGAGACAGTCAGCTGTTAATAACTTTGCTATAATGTTGTGCTCTGAGTCACCTTCAGCAACGGGGCCTCTAAATGAATGCTATAGAAATTAAAAAGAGGATATCAGAAGTCCAGAGACCAATCACAACTAATATAATAAGGCTAATTTTTAAATTAAATGCAACTCCTTAATGCAAAATCGATTGGATTGTGGATGGCATCTCATTTTGCTCCGTTGTTAGTGATCTGGAGTCCTTGGGTGAATGGTTTCACTTTGTCTTGTTTTTCTTTTCTTGTGTTCTGTCCCTTCCCCTCATTTGCTTTCCCTGAGAACATGTCAATTTTTATTTTATATTTTTCCACATTCTTCACAGGATAACGCTTGAGATTATGACCCTGCAGCCCAAGTGTGAGGATGTAGAGACAGCGGAGGGTGTAGCTATTACTGTCACTGGGGTGGCTCAGGTAAATCACCACACATTTTTGGGACTCCCAGTTCAGATTTCACTAACCCCTCCCTCCCTTTCTCTGGCATCAGCCTCTAATCACAGCTGAGGTGGTATTTCATACAGGGGTCTCAAGTGCGTATGTGTAACATAATCTGACCAAGCTGGAGTCGAATTGATAATAGCACTGTGTCAAATGCTTCCTTATTTATTTTTCTAAAACCATAGGCAATATTATACAACTTCAGCTGGTATTCTGTGTCCGAGTCTTCAAACTTGATTTTCTGATTTGTAATTTGTCACCCCACTGCTCCCTGCAGCAGTACACCCCCACCAATTTCCTATGCTGATGACACAATGTTATTTTCAGTCTTTCAGTGAATTAGCATGGCACACAAAAATGGGTCTATGAAAAGCCTAATTGGTGTTTTGCGGTCAATCTCAGTATATTATGTTATTTTTTATGCTGTTTATTTCTGCTTTTTTTTTTTTTTAATGATTCAGTTCTGGGTCTGTCACATTGTTGTTTAAAATTCACAGACGCTAAAGAATAACTTGGGTAGTCACAATACCAAAACATCTGAGAAGCAGTGTATCATATGTTGGATCCATATTATAACACTAGGTGTCACTGGAATTTGCAGGGGAGTTTTTAAATAGTCATCTTCTTGCGCACCTCCAGACTTCTTCCAGTGCAGCTGCTATTCTCAAATCTCTCTCAAAAACTACTCATGCTATGGCCTTCAACTGGGTCGGAATTTTCTCCAGGACCGAGATTGACTACTTTTTCTTTTCAAATATTCATCTATTGCTATTATGTGCTGCGTTGTCTCACTCGCAAGCATGACTACGTCATTTTTTCTTCTTCTTCATTTTTTTGCCTACATGTAGAGGGTGACTTTGCTTCTTAGCAATAAAATTAGAATGGTCAGGGGTTAAAGTGAGATTCAGCAGGTGGTGCGAACCCTAAAATCAGTTGTAATGGCTCAGTGTGGGCAAAAGAAACATAACTCGCAATAATTTCTATTGAGAGCTCCAGTAGATAATGTACAGGCTGTGATCAGCTGACCTGCTGCTCTAGATTTACACAAGTGAATTCTACAAGATGTAAGCAGATGTTTCATGAATTATCCTGGCGGATTTCCATCCTCTACACCAGGGGTCAGCAACCTTTAAGACCCAAAGAGCCATTTGGACCTGGTTTCCACACAAAAGAAAACACTGGGAGCCGCAAATACTTTTTGACATCTAAAATTAAGATGATACTGTATATATTGTTTTTTACCTTTATGCTTTGTGTGAACAACTAAGGTGTGTTGCTTATGAAATCCACATTTTATCTACATTTTATTTATGTAATTAACACATTTTGAACACAGCTGAACTAAAATGATCCATGTAGCAAACAAAAACTATTGTGAGCCTCCACCCTTATGTCGCCTTTGGGCTTTTGGAGCCTTGACCTGACTTAAAAAATAATTGGAAAAAAAGCACTATGCTGCTAAAAAAAAAAAGAAAAATAGATATTTGCAAAATTCTGCCTAAATATGTATTTTACCAGGTTAAGGTGTGTGGCGGGGCGTTGTCTGCAGTGCCGCTGCAAGGGAGGCGGACGCACCTGAGCGGCACCCGCAATCATGCCTCGCCGCCTTAACGTCTGTGCCATCTATGCTGTTGTTGGTGTATGTCGGGCTGTGAGCTGAAAAGCTACAGCTGGCTGTATGCGTACAGCAACCGTGTATGAAAAGTGGCCAATAAAGAGATGCTGAAAACCATGTTCATGCAAACATCGTCGGGTCTGCCGTGATATGTTTACAATGGGACTTCTGCTCCTGAACCTCTGCGCATATCCCATATGCGCACAGCGTCTTCAAATCGGGGCTGTACGAAGTCACTTTCATCTTTACGCAGGACTGTAAGCTGTCATCTGTGAGGCGTGAGCGGTGTTTGTTTTTAACATAGTTCACGGTGGAGAACAGCTGCTGACATAATGTGGATCCGAAGATCCATAATTGGCCTACCTGGAGTTGAAAGTCTCGATAAATGCGCGCCGTTTTGGCGGGTACACCGGCTTCCGTGAGTGTGACGCTTATTTAGAGCGATGAAAAAAATAATAAAATATAATTTTATTTTTATATTTCAATATCACAGTAATCTTCCAATTTAGAAGTACAAGTTAAAAAAAAAGAACTAACATAAATAAAATACACTTCAGCTAAATACTTCTAATTTATTTTCCCAAACCACACGAGCCGCAGTATAAGGACTAAAGAGCCGCAGGTTGCCGACCCCTGGTGCCCTCCTAAAAATCGTACTGCACATCAGGATAACAGTGACTTCAGCGATACCAAGGCTACAAGACCGATAGTTCAGCATTGCCTCTACATGTGCCTGATGCTGATTGGCACTGTTTGTAGTGAAAATAGAAGCAAACTGTCTTATCCTCTGCAATTGTCTCTTTGTTACTAGAAGAAGAAAAGGAGGAGTAGCGGGGCTACATGCTGACTTTTTAACTAATAGCTCCTTTATGCCCTATGCCTTTTAGGTCTACCATCGCAAACTTTAGCAGCACCATTTAAATCAACATTTCACATTATTTTTGCTGTCTTAAATGTATTACTTAAAGCTACTTTGAGCTGCTCATTTATTCACAAGTGAAGGTTTTACTTGCAGAGCAGCATGTACAGGATTTTTCTTTCCCCAGTTTATGATGGCAAAAACTTATTGTTGACTCTTCACTCTAATCATTCTTTGCTTATTCAAACCAATTCTAACTGCGCCCTGGTGTGTCAGCTTATGATCATTCAAAAATAGTAGAGAATAGTTGCATTGGTGAACTAATTATTTCGTGTAACACAAAGCAAACCTCATAACCTCACTTAAAGCAGTGCATGAAGTAAAGTAAGCACAATACTGCACAGCTGCTTTCATTCTGTCAGTTATATTAATTCCACAGATGCTGAAGTACAAATCAAAACCAGGCAGCGCTCCCTGGCCTTGGACTTTGCCTACAAACAGAGTCAAGACTCCAGAATGTCTTATTTTGCCTTCTAGATACTTTTTAGCACAAATGTTGACTGAGTTCTAATTTGTAATAGAAAGTAATTATTTTCTGGATTTTCTGTTTAAGAAAATGTACGTATCATCACAGTGTTTTGTGCATTTCCATATCTTGCTCCTAATTACTTCCTGATTTTTTTTTTTCTGCCGCATGCCATTAGTTCTTTTGTTTAAATGATGACGCCTCATTATCAGTTCTCTGTTTTGACCACCATTTTGCCACTGTATGTTCCTCTTCTCTGTGTTTTTCTACATGTGTGCTGACAATGAGGCCACTGTCTGGAGTTGAAAACCCCCCACTTTCACACAGTTTACTTCGAGCTGACTCATAATGGTGTCCGTCAGATTGGTCCAGTCTAAGCCAAAGCCACTGTGAAATTTGTGTCCCATGGTAACAGCAAAGTCTTTCCTAATTCAAAGAGACAAATGAATTAGGCTTGGTGGGAGACATCCATTTAAAGGAAATGAGCAGAATTTCAATCTAGGATGTGCATTTCATTTCTGTATTGAATTCTTCAATCATATTTTGCCTTGTTACTTTAGGTAGGACTGCTTTTTGAATCCTTCGATAACTTAATAGTCAATTTGCACTGGAAGGACCTAACAAATTTTAAAAAACAAAACTGTCTACTGAGATTTTTTTCTGTACAGTCTGTGCATTTAGAGGAGGCAGGAGGAAGGGTGGTGTTACAAGTTGGAGTGGGGCTAGGTAGCAGATTAAGAGCTCAGGGCAACAAATGAAAATTGTTGAAGTCTTTATTCCAATGTCAGCCGTTGCACAGCGCCCCCTGCTGTCTGTTAGAGCTTTCCTTGGCTGTCTTGTGGCCTTTTCTCTTTTCTGGAAGTGACGACAGTCTTTCCTGACTTTGTGTTGCCCTTATTTCTGTTATGAGTGCATGTTGTAAAACATACCCATGTGCAGACCTCTCGCCTAAGGACCCAGCTCACTCTTTTTTTTTTCTTACAGCTCTGATGGACAACAATTTTATCCCAAACCTTTTTAACCCATTTTTGATTACATGACTGTCTGTTTGTAAATGATCTCTCTTTCTATCACTGACTGTTTCTATCTTTTAAACCTCAGGTCAGTGACATTCATTTTTCTTTGTTTCTTTCTTGTTGGTTTTTTTTTTTTAAATGTTACGTGTCCATCATATTTTTCTCCCCTGTTTATTTCTATATATTTGAATTAACCTGTGCAACACTGATGTGAAAATCTAAGTCCCTGCATTTAAGAAGAGCAAAAAATCTAAAAGCAGAATACTGACTTCATCTGACATTAGACGGCCATGTATTCTTTAAAAGCCATAATAACATTTCCAAAATACTTTTATTGAAAATGGAGAGATGCTGTAAAAAATTATTTACTCCCTTCCCAATTTCTTAGATTTTTGCATCTTTATCATGCTGACATGTTTCAGATCGTCAAACAAATTTTAATATTAGGCAAATATAACTCGAGAATGAGACAACATGAGATTTTCAAACTGGTACCAAAGGTCCATCTACTAAAAATCAGAGGTCAAGTTTTCTCAAAATCTTGTGAATGTAATAAATTGAGAATGATGTCACCTGTGATTTTCAAAATGATGAGAAAGGTGAATGTAGTAGGAGGCTGACAGGTAGCACTGGCAGCCAGCAGCATTTTTAAATGATTTCATTTATTAAAGGAAAAAACTTATCAAAACAACCTGGCCCTATGTGAAAAATGTATCTCAGGGTAAGACAGGGTATCTTTGTCTAATATTGAAATTGGTTTGATCTGAAACATGTTAAAATATATATATATATATATATATATATATATCGTGTGGATCGCCTTTACCCAAAGGCAAACTAAGAAAGTATTGTTGAACATTTGTTTGGCCATGTCATTGATGGCTGACAGTTTTGGCTTCCTCTTTTAGGTGGGCTGACAGCATACAAGATGTTCTTCAAACATTTTGCTGATTACTATGTCCATAGTTCTTTTCATGTGTAAAAAGCATAATGACATAGATACATCCAACACATACTGGCATAATAATAATAATAACCGTTATTATTATTATTATTATTATTATTATTATTATTATTATCAATTGTTATTATTATTATTATTATTATTATTATTATTATTATTATTATTATCAGTTGTTATTATTATTATTATTGATATTATTGTGAATTTTAGGCTTTGTAATTTCCACTCTTTGCATTACTGATGCAGTGAAGGTGAACAGAAAAAAATACATTCTAAGTAAAAGGATTTTAAAAAATCTTTGTATAATATTAAAAGCTAGTATGTGTTGTCTTTCTGTGTGCCACACCTGTGGGTTGTGCCTGTCTTTCTGTATTCACAAAGACAGGCACAATGAATGATGTTCTCTGTCCATGTTGGCGTTAGGTGAAGGTGATGACTGAAAAAGAACTGCTCGGTTATGCCTGCGAACAGTTCCTGGGAAAGTCAGTCATTGAGATCAAGAGTGTTATCCTGCAGACCCTAGAGGGTCACCTGCGTGCTATCCTTGGTGGGTAGCTTCTCCAATTCATATGGTGACTCTGTGGTGTTTTCTTGCTTTTTGTTCTTTTTGGTATCTGCGCAATATGACTATGACAGTGATTGGAGGATTTTTTTTCCCTCTTGACATATTGGCACTATTTGTCAGTGTGTTTGGTTTTATTCAAATGTATTACAGGACCATGATTTTTGAGGCACTAAACACACTGACCGATCTTCCAGGCACGCTAACTGTTGAGCAGATTTACCAAGACAGAGACAAATTTGCCTCCTTGGTACGAGAGGTGGCAGCACCTGATGTTGGCCGCATGGGTATCGAGATTCTCAGCTTCACCATCAAGGTATAAGAAAGAGAAAGTCAAGTTCATGTTATTCTGACTCTTTTTCAAATATTTGTTTGTTTTTTAATTTCATTAGGTTAACTGCCTAGAACTGTGTACATTAGTGTTAACCTTTCTTCCTTAAAGGATGTATATGATAAAGTGGACTATCTGAGCTCGCTGGGTAAAACTCAGACAGCTGCAGTACAGAGGGATGCAGACATCGGAGTAGCAGAGGCAGAGAGAGATGCTGGCATTAGGGTAAGAAAAGCTTTAAGACGAAGTTAAAACTTCTATCATCTATTGTTAATGGCTATTATTACATTAAGAAACCACCATACAGCACCTGATCCATCTCCCTGTCATTAGTTGTTGCACTCTGTCTTTTACAGGAAGCTGAATGTAAGAAAGAAATGATGGATGTCAAGTTCATCGCAGACACCAAAATGGCTGACTCCAAAAGAGAGCTGGAAATGCAGAAAGCTTCTTTCAATCAGGAAGTGAACACAAAGGTATGAAGTTGTGTTTGTTGGGTTGAATGTGTCAGCAACAATTGTGAAAGTTTACCCTTTTAAAAAACTTCCTGCTTCTGTAGAAAGCTGAGGCTCAACTGGCATATGAGCTACAGGCAGCTAAAGAGCAACAGAAGATCCGTCTGGAGGAGATAGAAATTGAGGTGGTGCAGAGGAAAAAACAGATCAAAATTGAGGAAAAGGAGATTGAACGCACTGAAAAGGAGCTCATCGCTACTGTGAAGAGACCTGCCGAGGCAGAAGCCTACAAGATGCAGCAGCTGGCTGAAGGCCAGAAGTGAGTACTTTGCTGACAAATCCTCTTATCAGTCAAAAAGAAATCACTTTCAGTGAGAGGGGGAAAATGTTAAAGGGCTATTTCATTTATTTCTTAACTGAGTCATAGTGGTTCGCTATATTTAAAGACATTTTTTAACCATATAATGTTCAGTCTCTTTAGGCATAATTGAATAACTCACCACTGTTTAAATAATGCTTAGTGTGCAAAATATGTAATACATATATGTAAAACATAATATGGGCTACTCTTGCTTGTGCTGTTATTGGTCCATCAGCCGGTCATGCAGAAGACAAAGTTATAACCTACAAGAATTGAACTGAACCTGAGTGTTAAAAACAGTGAAATGTCTACTGCAGCCACTGTTTCTGCTTTTCATGCTGTATTTTTAATCTTTGAACATTTTTTTCACACTTCTCCCATTCCTATTGAAATCTGCTGTTGCTCCCTTCCCTAAAGCAGAGCAGCTGATTAGTTGGACAGTGGGCCCAATCTTTATCAATATCTGAAATTATTGTGTTTTTCTAATGCTAAAAAAATGCTACATATAGCTCAGCACCCAAGAAACATCATAGTAATATTAATTATACTGCTATTTATTATTCATTCTCACATATACCACGTGTAATGTGTAATGCCTGTTTATGTCTGCATGTCAAAGGTCGTGTGTCTATTAGTAATGAGATATTGGTTATGTAAACCATTAAATAATTATTTTGCTGTCCCTCTAACACTGATATCTGTCAGGATGAAGAAGGTGCTGACAGCACAGGCAGAGGCTGAGAAGATCCGCTGTATTGGTGAGGCAGAGGCTGCCTCCATTGAAGCTGTGGGGAAGGCAGAAGCTGAGAAGATGAGGCTGAAGGCCGAAGCCTACCAGCAGTACGGCGATGCTGCCAAGACCGCCTTAGTCCTGGAGGCTCTACCCAAGGTTTGTGATACAGATTTATAAAACAGTGCCATTTGTGGATTTTTGTTTAGTGTTTTTTGTTTGTTTTGTTTTTTACAGTGTCTACACCATAAGAGCTTTGAGTACCAAAGTGATTTTATGAACTTTTTCAGACTGTTTAGCAGATTGGACTGGCAGCTTCTCTGGTCTCTGTGATCAAGATTATGACTTTTTCAGAGTGGACTGCTTGGATAGCAGGACAGCCTCTAATATTTTTGTTTCATCACAATTCAGTTATGAGGAAGAAATTGTAGACATATGGTTTCTGGGTTTTTTTTCTTTGTGATATAAACCATTAACAAGCAGCTCAACTTCAGGATTAGTTTTAGAACCATTACACAATTATAACTAACATTTCTGTCTTACAAATGCTAGAGAAGCATTAATTGTCTCACATGTACTGTCTTTCTCTGATAACTTTGAACATAGACTTTGTTAAACATTTAGCATTTTTACTGAACAGAGCTGCAAAGGGTTTGATCTGTTTTTATCACATGATTACTGTCTTGGAAAAAAAATAAATAAAAAAATCAGTCCTCAGTTATTGAAGGTCTCAAACTGGTATTCACACTGTTTTTTCCAGATTGCTGGTAAAGTGGCTGCACCTCTGTCCAAGACCAATGAGATTGTCATCCTGAGTGGAGAAGGCAGCCGTGTAACTGGTGAAGTGAACCGTCTATTAGCTGAACTCCCGGTCTCAGTCAATGCCCTCACTGGGGTGGATCTCACCAAGGTAAGAAGGCACTATACTGTTCAGAGCTCTCTGCTGAATATGAAACATAGTACAGAGCTTTTTTCTCCCCCTTCTGTCAATGAAAGTAATTACACAAACACACTTACCATATGTTTATGATGGGTGTAGCCAATAAGGAAAAGTTAAACCACTAAGTAATCTGCGTTTTTAAGTGTTATAAGTTTTTCTGTCATACTTCGAGTTGCTGTCTGTCTCCATTGCAATCACTAATTGCCTTTTCAGGCAAACATATTTATAAATTATGACATTGGCTTGTTGGGTCCATAAGCCTGCAGTTAGATCCCGAGAGACTTAATCACCATATGTGGGTTTGTTTTGAAAGGGCTTTGGTGCAGCAAAAAGTCACTTTTTTTGTTTACTGCTATATGTCATCTTTATGGTTAGTTGTATATTTGGTTAATGATTGCTTATAAATAAAGAAAGTCTCTGAATACTTTTGGTTAGACATAAATATTTTTTCTCCCCATCTGCAAGCTGCAATTTCCATGCTGTCAGCTCATTATTCTCTTCTTAAGAGACTTCCCAAAAATGTAGCACAGGAATGCTGTGCTGTTTAGGAACCGTCTGGGAAATCAAATGGAGAATTTCACCACCCACATATGAACAAACTCTGACAGTTATTACTAAACACTGAAACTCTTGTTGTGTAAATAAGCAACACTTTGTTAACACAGCCAGAGTTGTATTTTTAGCTTGTTCAGTGGTTCTCGAAGTAAGAGAAATCAAGGCAGCTTTAAGAAGCAACAGATGCACTGTACTGTAGTTATTAACACTTTACATCCTTTTTAAAATTACTTTTGTTTATTCGCGTTACAGACACAATGAATATATTTATAATGAATTTCTGGAGCAGGACCACACCTCATACATGCCCCTTTCAGTTCTCTGTCTAGATATGAACCCCTGCACTGCACGCTGTTTGCGCTCGTTTT